AGAGGAGGTCTCCTGATGAGTCAATTAACAACAGGTGTGCAGGAAGACTCCAGCCCTAGGAGACCCACGGCGCACTCTGCTGGAGACAGAGGGTAATCTCCAGATCCCAGTAGTAACTCCAGTCCTAATGGAAAGAAACAAAGAACAAAAGAGGATCCTCGGCGCCCTCTGGTGGGCAAGCCTGAGGATCCAACAATGCACGCTTCTGGAAGTAGTTTTCCAGATTAACTTTAACTTCTCCCGGGCGGAGGGATGGGGTAAGTCTAAAAGACAGCGTTCTACCTCTCTAAGGTAGTCTTCAATGGTGGATTCAGTGTTGCTGGGGTCAAAACGCTCTATGTCCTGGGCGAGGGATTCAAGTTGTCGCATCCGTAATCCCTGTTCTGGGACTGGGGCTGGACCATCTGAATCCTCATCTGAGAGCTCTAGCCAGCTATGGTCGCGGTAGGGTGGAAAGCTCTGCTCTGACCTCCTTGGAGGCAGGTGAGACCGCTCATGATACACTGGTGAACCTGTTGCTCCGTAGCCTTTAGGCCATGGCCGCGGGTCAGGGCGGTAACGCTCACCAGTGTCCCATAGTTGGCTGTACAGCTGCCTTTGTGGCAAGGGTGTGTCATAGCAGATCGTGCTTCGTGTTTGGTCTGACCTGCTTGTCGCTCTATAACTGGGGCTTGGCATGCCGCTCAGGTCCTGCATCCTCTGCGGTCTAAAACTTCTCTGCTGGATGGAGCTACGCACTACACTACCGAACCTTCCCTGCTCCCTCATGCTAGCTCTCTGCTCTGTGGCTGCCAGAGGAGGATCTCCCCTGGTACCCTTTCTACCAAACTTATCTAAAGCAGGGGTGGGTTCGCTTTCTTCTCTCTTAAGAGAACCTGCTGTTCTTTCTTCTGATCTTTCGTCTGATCCTTCATCTGACCCTTCTTCTGATCCTTCGTCTGACTCTTCGTTTGACCCTTCATCTGACCTTTCGTCCTGCGGGCAGGGAGCTACCCCCCTTTGCCGTTCTTCCAGGACGTTGGAAGTCACCATCCTATTCTCTTCTGCCTTCCTTGCCCTTACTTTAGCTTCTAAACACAGTTCTTCGGCTTTTACACGCAGTGCTTCGGCCTTCAGGCGCAGTTCTATTTCTACTTGTGACTTTCTCTGGTACAGTAACGCAAGCTGACCAAGCACGTTTGCGATAAGCCTTTCTTTCCCTGGCTTCCTAGTTGACTCCATTAGTTTCTGAATCTCTCTGTCACAAGCCTCTAGATCGAGACTATTAAGGGCTCTGTGTTCGTCTTCTGACAACGAAATCACGAGCTTATTAAGTTCTGGGCTTCCATTTCGATGAAGGCCGCAGAATCTCCCACTGCTTGCTGATCCTGATCCCTATCGATTTGATTCGCTAGGGGGAACACAAAGCAGGAAACGCAGCGCACTGGCTACAAATCGCTAACCGTGTTAGCACTACACGCACTAAACAAACACACTCCGTTTACTGTAGGTTCGTTACCTATACGGCAGGTGTACAACGTGCGGATAAAACAATACGCAGGTTGCTTTCAACTTGCGACCTCTTTAATTTGACAGGTTGCCGATTTGCTTTTAAATCTGTGGGTTTCTAATGGTTTGATTCACTCACCTTTCAGTAAGTAAGATTGGCTGGTTGGAAATTGTGTATATGTGTATAGGTGTGTGCGTGTGTATGTATATATGTGTAGAACACTGTTAACAAACAACTCTTGCACACAAAATGGATAACGCAGTGTTAGAAAACCTGGCAGAAGTGGTAAAAGGTGGCAGCAGCTGCACAATTAAACCTGAGGTTTTGTTTCTTTATACCTGCAGTTTAAGTTTAACCACTCTCCAATTGTTAAAACACTGTTTGTCCACAGCACAGAAAGCAATAGTGAAACAGCATGAAAGAAAGAAAAAGAAAAATTAAGAAAAAAAAAACAAGTCACTCCTTCTCTACACCATTCAGCTGCAATTTCAGAAGCCACCACCAGGGGGAGACAAGGTGCCTTCACCTGGGAATTTTCAAACTGTTGTTGCAATAACACGCTTACGCCACCAGATGGCGTCAACGAGAGCACTACACAATTTGGATCTCAAACACTGGAACCAGCTGAGTAATTGTAATTACATAAGCTACCACTAGGGGGAGATGACAATCTCTGCCAACGTGGCCTACACTGACCCAGTCGCTGTGACTTTAAGAACCCTTTTGTGCTGCACCAATCCACAATTTGATCTCACGGCTTCAGAATAGCAGCAACCAACAAACAACGCAGCCGAAGTCCCAAATCACCAATTCTCTATTGGATTATAAGTCTGAGATTCAATTAACTGGTCGTTAAATCTACTCAAACCCGCTGGACTCCGTCACTGCAACACCACAAATACACCTGGTCTATTTTAGCAGTAGTAGCGCTTTTAGCTGTTTTTAATTTCTGGATGGTTTATCTGTTATTCATATAACAGAAGTTTCAGTCTCAGGCATGTCCATTTTGGCAATATATCCCAACAGAATGAATAGCAGAATGAAAGAAATAATGTCTCATCTAAACATCCCTCAATTAACAAAAATTAACAATAACTCTCAACTCCCAATAACAGATGATACTCAGCCTCAGTAATGAACGAAATATTGTCTGTTCTTTAGATTATTGGAAAAAATAAATTAACAAATGAGCTAATTAACAAAACATACCTCTTGTGTAGCAAAAATAGTTCAAAATGTACCAAAAACGAACAAACATGTCAATAGACTTATCTTTACTTTTGGTGTCCAGGTGGCTTTTCAGATCCCTTGCACCTCCATTGGACACCGAGACATATGTGCCTGCTTTGCACACTGTGCACAAGGCATCCATTGTGTCTCGACCCAGTCAGAAAGCGGGGAAACTGTTTTATAAATTGTCGGTAAACATACATTTGCGCTTTTGCATGTTGTTGGCGTACTGACAGCCACGCTATCCATCTTCTGATTAAGAACAGGGCTGCCCGCACTGAAGCGGCTTATGGATTACGTCACATGCAGCGTCGTGCGCAGTGCCCTAGTGCCTATTAATTTAAAAGTCCAATGAAGGTGATTTAAAAAATCAGGACATATCCTCACTTTCTAAAAAAACCCGGGACGCCCAGGACAGGACATGAAATACGGACATGTCCTGGGAAATACGGACGTTTGGTCACCCTACATTGTGAGGACCTTTTTCCTTAGCAGTTTTCCTTTAGAAAAATTACCATGTCTGACAAACAAGCCCGTTGAATGGGATCCTACTGACAGCGCACCGCTGGTATGTGGGGGTCTGAGCGGCTCCGACAGAAATATTGGAAGGCAGGATGAACTGACTGCACTGATGAAGTTTTCAGGTGGATTTTCCCACTTAAAAACATAATAAAACTACTTTATTCCCACTGATCACAGCAAATATAGCTGCAAGGCAAATAAAGGATAGGGTAGCTCCGCCCAACGCGCGTCAGAGCCACTTTTCGACCGCGCAGCCAGAGCAGCAAAGCTGCTTCAGCCGCGCGTCAGAAGCTGTTACAAGCAGCAAAAAGGAAGCAGCAGACGCGATTTTGCTGCTCCTGGTGCGTCCAGTTTGAAAGCAGCATGATTCACTCCGCTCTAGCTTTGCTCTGCCCACGGGCTGCTGAGAGCGCCGGCTGCGGTCCGCTCTTCTTGCAGTCAAACACAGAGCATCTTTCTGCTCTTAAATTGTTTCCGTGCACGATGTATTGCATTGCGCACTATTAGCATCAGTGTTAATAAAGTGAAGTCACACTTTTGACCTGGGGGGCATTTTAAAGGGGTTCCACGACGCTCGCAACCAGTTCACAACAGATACACATTAACCCTGGCTGTAGGCGGGACCACCTGTGTATTTTTCCTGGATGACGCAATCACGTTAAGTGTTACAGCCAATCACCGAAACTTGGCACCGAAAGACGAGGCATGTTTCGATACTCTGTAGAACCGAAGCATTTCGGTCGGTACCATAAAAGGACCGAAGTTCGGTACCCAGCCCTCTATGCGCCTTATAGTCGTGAAAATACGGTAGTTATTTAATATCGGTTCTCTAAATGGAAATCAAGGCTAGATCCCACAGGATGTTTTAACCCTTCAGTAAAACATCAATAATTAAATTGTTTGGAAAACTAAGATTGGGTTTTTGTACTGGGAAAAAAAAAGAAAAGCATGTTCTGTTCAGACATAATCTAAAGCTTTAAAGATTAAAGTGGAGGCCCAAACCTCTGACTGAGATGTCAGAGCTGCAGTGCATGCTGGGAGATGTAGTTCTAGTCTCTTTTTATGTAGTTAGATTGACACAAGGATGATTAAAGTGAAGTGTCTTTTATTTAACCACCAACAGAAAGTGTTTTTGCTGTGTAGGGTTGTCACGATACTAAACTTTTCAACTCGATACCGATACTAAGGAAAATATTCGATACTCGATACCATTTTCGATACCACAAGGATAAAATTTCAACTGAATTATTTTGATTAATAATTAAAATACAATAAATAAATACATACAATAAACAATAAGAACAACATTTTGAGGTTGTTTTCTGTGCACAGTATTTAGCAAGCTTGATTAAAAACTTACAAAATTAAAATTAAGTTTTCCTTACTTGGCTATGCTTTGCACACATAACAATGACACCAGCCAAACTGGTTAAGAAACAAAAATAATTCTCAGCAGCTGCAACTGTTACAAAAAAAGTCTGAAACTGAAAAGTGCACAGAATTATTCGATCACACAGTGTTCAGAAAGTGCATTTTCCTCTATTCTGCACTTTAGATGAATGACTGTTTAGGTGCGACTGGTACTCGATACTTTTGAAAATGAGTATTGTATCCGGATACAACGTTTCAGTATCAATACTTTTTTGAGTATCGATACTTTTGACAACCCTATTGCTGTGTTTGTCTTTCCAGACCGCCTGCCTGATTATGTTGGAAAAGAGGTTTTCTCTGACCAGCAGCTCTGTGGACAGGAGAGGAATTCCAGTTTGGACCAAGAGGAATCTGAACATCCGCAGATAAAAGAAGAGCAGCAAGAACCAGAACATCCCTGGACAAAAGAGGAAACCATGGAGCTCCCCATAAGTGAGCAGAAAGAGCAGCTTGTTCTAAGGCAGGAAGCTGAACATACAGGAGAGAAACCTTTACCATGTTTAACATGTGGAGAAAACTTTCTAAAAAAAGAGCATTTAATGGCTCACATGAGTCTGAAGTGTTATCAGTGTAAGATCTGTAGAAAAAGCTTTATTAAGAAATCTAAACTTGAAAGACACACAAGAATTCACACTGGTGAGAAGCCTTTTACCTGTAACATTTGTAACAAGAATTTTAGTTTCAAGAGTCACTTGACTAAACACACCAGAATTCACACAGGTGAGAAGCCTTTTACCTGTAACATTTGTAACAAGAATTTTACTAAAAGAAGTAGTTTGACTACTCACACCAGAATTCACACAGGTGAGAAGCCTTTTACCTGTAACAATTGTAACAAGAACTTTACTGCCAAGAGTCAATTGACTACACACATGAGAATTCACACAGGTGAGAAGCCTTTTGAATGTCTTTCCTGTGGAAGATGCTTCACTCGGAAATCTCATTTTGAGATACACATGAGAATTCACACGGGTGAGAAGCCTTTTTTATGTCTGTCCTGTGGAAAACGCTTCACCTCTAAGACTGATCTTAATATTCACATCAGAATTCACACAGGTGAGAAGCCTTTTACCTGTAACATTTGTAACAAGAATTTTACTAAAAGAAGTAGTTTGACTACTCACACCAGAATTCACACTGGTGAGAAGCCTTTTACCTGTAACATTTGTAACAAGAATTTTACTAAAAGAAGTAGTTTGACTACTCACACCAGAATTCACACTGGTGAGAAGCCTTTTGAATGTCTGTCCTGTGGAAAAAGCTTCACTCAGAAATTTCGTTTTGACACGCACATGAGAATTCACATGGGTGAGAAGCCTTTTTTATGCCTGTCCTGTGGAAAACGCTTCACTCAGAAATCTCATTTTGACACGCACATGAGAATTCACACGGGTGAGAAGTCTTTTTTATGTCTGTCCTGTGGAAAACGCTTCACTCAGAAATCTCATTTTGACAGGCACATGAGAATTCACAAGGGTGAGAAGCCTTTTACCTGTAACAATTGTAACAAGAACTTTACTGAAAGAAGCAGTTTGACTAGACACATGAGAATTCACACTGGTGAGAAGCCTTTTGAATGTCTTTCCTGTGGAAGATGCTTCACTCGGAAATCTCATTTTGAGATACACATGAGAATTCACACGGGTGAGAAGCCTTTTTTATGTCTGTCCTGTGGAAAACGCTTCACATCTAAGACTGATCTTGATAAACACACCAGAATTCATACAGGTGAGAAGCCTTTTTCTTGCACGATTTGTGGCAAAAGTTTTACTCTAAAAAGTTATTTGACTAAACACATGAGAATTCACACAGGTGAGAACCTGTTCTGAATGATTATTCACAAAGATTTTAAATGAGAAGGTAATTTAAGTATCCAGGTGACATTTATTTATGCATGATGTGGAATGATTTATTGAATTAAAAAAACAAAAACCATTTGTTTAACATAAGTCATAAAAGTTAGATGCCACAGGAATGAACAGTAGAGTCGTTTTCCATGTTGGAGATAAAATGTCCACGGGTTAATGTCCTTTTTTTCTTTTTCTAAAAGTTTTCATAAAGCCATGAATTAACAGCTCTGTTTACATTGAAACTAGAACAGATAAGATATTGTTAACCTGGTAAATATTCAGGTCCTGGGCGAATATGTGGATGTGAACATAAGAAAGTTAATTATTTTGGTCCTGAGTAAATTCGATTTAAATGGCCAAAAATAGAACGTCGCCCTAACAGAAAAGCTGTTTACATTCATAATTTCTTGCTTTTTCTGTGATAAAGGGAATAAACTTAATAAAGTGCAACAACAACATCTTGGTTGCAGATGAAGCGAGTTTTCTATCAGTACAATAAGCAAATGAGAAGTTCTAGATGTTTCAATTTAAAAAAATCCAGAGAGACCCCCACTGTGTGATTGTTGGTATGGTGTGGCACAACTATTTTCTGGATGAATTTATTCAGAAAACAATTTTTTTGAGACGTAGCAAACTGTTACCTGATTGTTAAAGGAGAAGTTCGGTTTTTTACACTTTAAGCCCATTTTCTGTAGTGTCCAGGATGAAATCGAATGATCGACACCAAAAGTTTGACAATTGGTCCTGTCTCTGCTTTTTGGCTCATTTAGAATCACCCCCTGGCTGCTTTAGAATGGCTAGCATAGAGCATGTCCGATAATGTCCTTAAAACAACCTTAAACGTTCTTTTTTTTAAATATGCTACTCACCGTGTCGTCAGCGCTGTTCAATGACGTTCCAAAAAAAGTTTCGTGAAGAAAAAACGTTCCTGTAGTGTTTTTTTAGCATTGTGTAAATCCCATTGAGTTCTGTTGGAATAGTCAATATTCCGCTGCCACCGGAAACGGAAATGGGGCCTGTTTACACAGTTGTAGTCTTTTCGCTTCACTCTGTGTACTCCGACGTCGAGAATCAAGAATCCACCTTTCGTATTCCATTTTTAGAGTTTTTTAAAATGTTTAACAGAGACGTTAGCACCTCGACGTCGGAGTACACAGAGTGAAGCGAAAAGACTACAACTGTGTAAACAGGCCCCATTTCCGTTTCCGGTGGCAGCGGAATATTGACTATTCCAACAGAACTCAATGGGATTTACAAAATGCTAAATAAAACACTACAGGAACGTTTTTTCTTTACGAAACTTTTTTTGGAACGTCATTGAACAGCGCTGACGACACAGTGAGTAGCATATTTTAAAAAAAGAACGTTTAAGGTTGTTTTAAGGACATTATCGGACATGCTCTATGCTAGCCATTCTAAAGCAGCCAGGGGTGGATTCTAAATGAGCCAAAAAGCAGAGACAGGAGCAATTGTCAAACTTTTGGTGTCAATCATTCGATTTCATCCTGGACACTACAGAAAATGGGCTTAAAGTGTAAAAAACCGAACTTCTCCTTTAAGCTGTGGTTGGATATATTCCAGAAACAGACTTTTATTCAGATGAAAATATCTTCAGATGAAAATAAAAGGAAAGCTAAGACAGATTTAATGAGCTTTGCTCAGTGTTGCTGATGTTTTTGGAGGATTTTCTAAGAGATCAGCTGCAAATGATCAGAGTTTAGCTAATTCAGTGTCTTGTTGGCTTTCATTAGCAATGCATCAATCAGCCCTGCTACGTGTGTTGTTGAAACCAGGCCCACCAAAACTCCAACTGTTTTTGGCACAGGGTTAGAGCTATGGTCAATGGATATTAGAATGAAGTAGATCATCTATAGAGGAGTCTCACATGAAGATTTGGGACATATATAAGTGTGTGTCAGTCTCAGAGTTAGTCAGCTACAAGCTAATTAATGTTGCAAAGTAGCTCCAGCCACCTTGAAAGGGGGTGCTGGGATTATGGGGTTAAACTACGGGACATCAAAGAACTCAGTTTAGAGGCTGGAGTCTGTAGTTCAGGTAAATTGAAGTCCTAAAATGATGAAACATGTTTGTTTAAAAAGATAAACAGGATTGATGATGTTGATGTTATTTTTACTGATCAGTTTGAACCTGCTTTAACTTGGTAAAAAGCCTTTGTCTTAATAATGTATTAAAGAAATCTGACTCTCCTCTAGAAGTGTAAAGTTTCTGCTTTTTAAACATTTTTTTGAAAGTATAATTTTCCTTTGAACTAATTCTAATAGTTTTGTTCTTGATTCTGTAGATGTTCTATTTACCTGCTATGATTGAAAGTAACTATCACCTATTTTATACGACTGATTTTATGGATTATATTCTGCTGTGGATGTTTTTAATTATTGTAATCGCTTCTAAATTGATGAACGAGCAGCAATAAAACCTCTTGGATTGTAAAAATGTGCTTCTTTATGGTTTCATATGAATTACAAATAGGGCTGCAACTAACGATTATTTTGAAAATCGATGAATCGGCAGATTATTTTTTCGATTAATCGATGAATCGGACACAAAATATTTTTTTTTATATTAACCTCTTTATTCCAAAATAAACATTTTAGACAGAACAAACAAGCACACAAGTACAGGTTGCTCATTAACTGTACTGGTGCAATATGAAAAATAAATGTTTGTGTTAAAACTACGCAAACTTACATGAGAAATGTAGCTGTACATCCACAAAATATAGGGTACTTTGTTTCATAAAGCGCAAAAAAAGACATTTTTGTTTTTAAAAGCCCCTAAGGGGTTCAAACAATAGGCCCCCCCATTTCAACAAATTAGGTTTTTTTTAGACTAGAGAGTTCTGCCTTTTAAGACAGGAAAGTATAGCAGTTAAAGTTGCTACTTGAGAAAATACTGAACCATAGAGATAAAAATAGCCCTGTGATTCAAATTATAAATTGTATTTGGAATAAAAATGAGAGAACTAGGGGTGCTAAAAAACACATCCTCCAAAGACAGATATTTACATGGGAATGTGGCAGATAATTAATTGACATATTACTGATCTTGCTGGATTTTATTCTGCTTTACTTCCATAAATTGCAGGATCTTCTTTACTTTATCTTTGCCAGAAGATTTCAACTTTAAAAGCCTTGCCCTCATAATTTGCAAATTAATTTATTTATAAAGAAAATATAAACGCTGCTTAAGCTAATTCAAATGAAATTAAAAGTAAAATAAGTAGCCAACCTTATCACTGTCTGTAACCTACTAACAAGCTAAGGAAAGCATCAGATGAGCTACCTGAGAAACTAACTTACGTTTCCCCACTTTAAAATGAAACAAACATGGTTACTCATCCTGCTGATCAGCTCTCTTCACTGCCATTGAAGGCTCCAACGTGTTTTCTTTTCAGGTGCTGCATCATAACAGTGGTGCTTCCGTGCCATGTTCATTTGTTTTTACAAAAGTTGCATGTTACAACTTTTTTCACTTTACAAAGCGCAGGCTATTTTAATTATTGTGATCAATTTGCGCCGTCAATCCCGGGGCATGCGCGCTTCATTTGCAGTCTGGACGCTGAGGGTAAACTCCTCACTAAAATCCTGCAGCTCGGACTGCAGCGCTGAGAGGGATTCTTGTGGGAGAGGGAGAAAGGCGTTGGGATGGGGGAGGCTCCCCACGGCAGCAGCTGCCGCTGGAGGACAAGAGTAGGAACGATACATGCTTTCATGTAAGAGTCACCAAAAGCCGCCAGTGACACCGTAAAAAGTCGCCAGATTTGTCGCTAGTCGCTTTTTAAAAAAAAAAGTCGCTGGAGGGGTCTAAAAAGTCGCTGAGTTGGCAACACTGCAACTGCGGCGCTGACTCGCTCTGCCGTATTTTTTTTTCTTCCCCGGGATGACGGCGGCGGCGGATGACGCATTAATCGCGCGACACAACTAATCGATGATTAAATTCGTTGCCAACGCTTTTAAAAGTCGATTTTTATCGATTTTATCGATTCGTTGTTGCAGCCCTAATTACAAACAATGTTTTTCCATGTTTTCTCTGATATTTCCAGCCAAACTAAAGCTAAAATAAATAGTTTAATGTCATTCACCTTCTGTCTTCTCCAGTCTTTCCTGTTGCTCCTCCATCAGCATTAATCTTTTTTGCTTTTTAGAGCCTGAGTGTGTTCAAATCTGGCCATTGAATAAATCCTCCTTTTTTTCCAGAGTTTCATCTTTAATGGTTTAAACCTGAACGATGGAACTGAATCCCATTGATCCTCATTCACTCAGTAACACACCTAGAAATGATGGAAACAGCCTCAGGTGGATGGAAACTGGAAATGTTCCTCTGTTTAGGTCTGGAGATGATGGTCTGTCTGTTTGCTGAGGAGCATCAAATCTCTGCATCTTCTCAAAGGGACACTTTCAGTCTGACTGAATAAAAGGAGGAAAATCAGCAATTCATTCTAAACAAGTCAGATGGAAAGAATAATCAGGCAGATCCAGGATTTTTCAAAGGGGTGCGCAGCTTAAGGTGATGTCAAGACAACGTGAAACTAAATGACCAAAAAATGCCTTCTTTACTCTTTATGGGGACACGACTACATGTGGGGTGGCATTTTATTTCATGAAGAGGTGTTTTTTTTTTTTTTTTTTTTTTTTAAGTAATCTGATCTTAACGCTACATGGATCTAAAATGGCGGCCCAGCGTCATCACAGAGAACTATGTGTTTTCACCCCCTGATTCTTACTTTCCATGGCTGAAAAATGACCTTTGGTGGATTATTACGGCACATGAGTTTATTTTATTGGAAATAAAACTGGATATTACTTTTCTGTGGAGTCCTAAGTACAAAATCAGAATGTTTTTACCATGATCGGTCAACATCTGGCCAGCAGAAGAGTTTAAACAAGATAAGAGCTGGAAGTTATGAATCATAAATTGATGACAGAAACACATCAGCCTCAGGACCGGATTCTAATATCTCTGCAGTGGGAATTTAAATCTGATACAGTTCTGCTCCTGAAGCTCCCTGAACATCTTAACTCCCAGAACAGCAGTGAGAAGTTATGGAGGGTTATTATCACTGGATGATTTAAATGATAAATATAATGCCTAATTGTCATTCCAGGAATGTGGACAAATTATAAATTATTTCCCCAAAACATTGATCAATTTAGTTCAAGATTGCTTCAGTAATATTGCAGTTCTTAAACCTAAAAATATATTTATTAAATAAAACAATATAATAGATGAAAACATGCAAAAACATCTTTTTAAGAAAAGTGTCAACAAATATCTTATATCCTTATCAATTAAAAGATTTTCCTGTTAAAAGAATACTACAAAAATGATATCCGTGTATTGAGAACCAAATATCTTAATTTTGCTATTCCAACTAAATCTAAAGAGCTTCATTAAAAACTTCAAATGACTTTTATCCTTCCAACCAATTCATATGCTCCAAATTGAAATTCGCTGTAAAAAAAATGTCGTCTATGTGAGCAAGAAGAGGAATAAACTGAACATCTTTTTTTTATTGTAGTAAAATGTAGCACTATTTAAATTGTAAAAGGACTAGATGGAAGAAAATCAGAAGACTAGAATTCGTCTACTGGAGCCGTTGTCAGTAATCAATAAAACAACACAAAACTGCTTTCAATACCATGTATTAGACAAATTTAAAGTAAACAATACAAGACAACATACATAGAACCCAAAATAAATACAAAAAAATATATATATACACAGTACTGTGGCAATCCTTTCGTTTGTGCACAACTGGTCTTAAATTCCCCGCTGATCAGTCCAGAGTCTGACCGACACACATTCAGAAATCCATGGTTGGATTATCCAGATATTTAAGTTGAAGAATGTCCCAGCGCAAGTTGTTTCAGGTGAAGAGGTGAATAATGGAGTGTATGCCTGAGTGGTGAGATGGAGGGGGGAAATGATTCAGACCAGTCCACTGTGGAGTGATTCTTAAGGCTCTCCTGGCTCCAGCCAGTTTTCAGAAGCTCGCCATCTTTTTCCCTAAAAAGGGATCACCTGGCCTGTATTAAAATAAACAGGACCAGTAAATTTCCAGCCGGCTAGTTAACTAGACTTTTCCAGTTTCACACAGAAATAAATGTAAAATCTAATCTATCAGACCAAATAAAGAACATTTATCTCATCATCTTAAAGTTAGATTACAACAATTGATGATCACACATAGCATTTGCTGCCACCAACATGCTAAAACAACAAACATTGTGCTCTCTACTCACCAATTCCAATAATGGATGAGAGTATGGCAGCTCCAAGGCTCCAAACTCACTGGATTTCTCGGATCTACATGATTTTTATATTGTGAGGTTAAACAGTGCATTACAAACAAAGAGAAACTGATTGTTTGGGAACACCAACCTGTAGCTCCTTTGTCTCCAGCTCTCCCCCTCACATCTGACTGGGGAAAACTGGAGCAAGCCTAAATAATTGCCTCAGGTGTGTCAATTGGCTGCATGCACTGTGTGACTGACTGTCACTCTAACCAATGGGGCAGTAAGGCGGGACTAAGGGCAGTTTCCACCCTGGGTTACACCCTCCCCCCTTTAAATCATGCATGTCCCGTGACATGTAAACATTAAACAATGTGAACATTGCTGGAAGTGGTGGGTGTCAAAACTAAAGCATCAGACAAACTGTGCAATAAAGTTTGAACAACTGAAATAAGCGGATTGCCTAAAGTAGTATATTGAAGCCGTTTAGGTGCCACTCTGTGACGTGTTGAGCGTCGTAGAGAAATGTCATCAATTTGATTTATGCCATCAAGGTTTGGGGATCTGTTCAAAGAAATTTCAGGAACAGGAACAGTTTCACCAACGGGGCTACCTGGATCAGGTAAGTCTTCAGGATGAGGTGGAACTCGTTCTGCAGAAACATCAGGTTGCTCTTTGACACTAGATTCTGGTTCAATTGATTCCACTTCAACAACTGACTTCAAACTCTCAGAATTTGAAAGAATTTCAACAGGTTGTTTTTCCACTGGAGAAACTGTTAGAACAACAGAGTTTTCTTCATCATCAGGAGGTGATGACTGTGTGAGTGGTTTCTCCATTTTAAATTCTAATGGAGGTGGAACTAGATAGAATGGAATCTCTTCTTGCTCACAGTTCTCACCTTCTGCAGAGTCCTCAGAAGATTCTTGACGTTTCTTGGTGTGTTGACGTGTCTGGGGTTTTGTGACTGGAACTGTCTCAGTTGGTCTTTCAGCATCTGTCATGGGGAGAAAACCACATGGAAGAAGAAGGTCTCTGTGTAGAGTGCGTAATGGGCCATCTTTGCACTCTGGTTTCACCGTATAAACTGGGAGATCCCCAGCACACTTCACCACTACAAATACATCTTGCTCCCATTTATCACAGAGTTTGTGTTTACCTCTGAGTCTCACATTCCGCACAAGTACTCGGTCTCCAACTTCCAGCTTGGATGGTAGAACTCGCTGATCAAACCGAGTCTTGTTTCTTTTAGCACTTCTGGCAGAGTTCTTTGATGCAATTTGATAACTCTTTTTCAACCGTGACTTCAGGTTCTGTACATACTGCAAATGTGATGGACATTTCTCTTCACAGATAGGAAGACCAAAAGCAAGATCAATCGGGAGTCGAGGACAGCGTCCAAACATAAGTTCATAAGGACTATATCCTGTCACTTCATTTCTGGTACAATTGTACGCATGAACGAGAGGTTTAACATATTCTTTCCATTTTGACTTCTGTTTTGGTTCAAGAGTTCCCAACATTGCTAAGAGTGTGCGATTAAACCTTTCTACAGGGTTTCCTCTAGGATGGTATGGTGTTGTATGACACTTTTTAATTCCTGTCATAGCACACAGCTCTGTTATCAATTTGGACTCAAAATCAGATCCTTGATCTGTATGTAGTCTTTCTGGAATTCCAAAGTAGATAATGAAATTGTCCAAAAGACATTTGGCGACCGTTCTTGCCTTTTGATTCGGTGTTGGAATAGCAATGGCAAACTTGGTGAAATGATCTGTCAACACGAGAATGTCTTTGGTATTGCTGGTATCAGGTTCAAGACTGAGAAAATCCATACAAATGAGCTCCAGTGGGCGTGAAGTCCGAATGTTAACTAGTGGAGCAGCTCTCTCTGTCAGAGTCTTTCGACGAACACAACGTCCACATGCTTTTATTTTCTGCTCCACATACATAGCCATTCTAGGCCAATAGAATCGAGCTCTAACAAGATCCAGGGTTCGCTCTACTCCCGGGTGGCCCATGTCATTGTGAAGACTATGAAGAACAGATTCACGGAGGTCTGCTGGAAGGACCAGTTGATATACATGTTGCTCGTTTTCTTGCCGTTTCCTGTAAAGAATGCCATCAATCATCTCCAGTTTTGTAAATTCTCTAAGGAGAAGATTAAGTTCTGGAAGTTCACTCCTGACTGTTGGGGGAATTTTTTCACCCGACTCCAACTGATGGATAACTTCCCTGACAGTAGGATCAGCTCTCTGATGATCTTTTAGGTCAGAATGAGACATTGCAGGAACAACAGGAAGTCCATGTGCCTCTTCAGAGTAATCCACAGGAATTACATCTGCCCTGACTGAGAGTGATTCAACCAAAAGACTTTCAACTTGGGTCCGAACCAGACGACTTTGGCAGATTGCATCCATCACTTCAGGTGACATCTCATTGTTGCTGTTGTCTAAAAGATGTTGTTGAGCAAACTGAGAGATGAGTTCCTGATCTTTATGTGCAACCTCATCTATGACAGGATTTTCACAGGGACGACGAGAGAGTGCATCAGCATCCTGGTTGTGTTTCCCTGCTCGATACTGCAACTTAAAGGAGAAAGTAGAAAGTGCAGCCAGCCAACGATGACTGGTAGCATCCAGCTTAGCTGAGGTTAGGATGTAAGTAAGTGGATTATTATCAGTGACAACTGTAAAATCTGCTCCATACAAATAATCTTGAAACTTTTCTGTTACACTCCACTTCAGTGCTAAGAATTCAAGTTTATGAGCTGGATAACGACTTTCGCTGGCTGACAACCCTCGACTAGCATAAGCTATTACCCTGAGCTTCCCCTCATGTTCCTGGTATAGGGCAGCATCCAGCCCAGTGGTGCTGGCATCTGTGTGAAGGATGTAAGGTAGTGCAGGATCAGCAAACCCCAGGACTGGTGCAGTGGTAAGTTTGTCGATCAGGGTATCAAAAGCCAGCTGACACTCAGGAGTCCACCTGGAACCAAAAGGTTGCTTTGGATCAAACTGTGGGCACTTAGAAGATTGTACTCTTGAGGGTTTATTAGTTGGGGGGGGTACCCACGGGTCAAATTGTTAAGAGGCTTGGCAATAGTGGCGTATCCTTTTATGAAACGTCTATAATAGCCAGTAAATCCCAGAAAAGATCTTAATGATTTCAAATTAGTAGGAATTGGCCAGGATTTCACTGTGGAAATCTTTTCTGGGTCTGTCTCAACACCTTTTTCTGAAACTATATGACCCAAGTATCTGACAGACGTTTGGAAAAATTTACATTTTTCCAAAGAAAGTTTTAATCCAAACTCTTTCAGACGATTTAGAACTCTCAGCAGACGGTTTTCATGTTCTTCAAGACTGTTTGAGAATATGATCAAGTCATCCAAAAAAAACAATACCTCTTTCAAATGCAGGTCACCCATACATTTCTCCATCAATCTTTGAAAGGTTGATGGTGCATTTGTAACCCCCTGAGGCATTCGGTTAAACTCCCAAAACCCAAGTGGAGTAACAAAAGCAGTCTTAGCTTTATCAGCTTCATTCATTTCAATCTGATAATAACCAGATTTCAGATCTAGCACTGAAAACCACTTTGATCCTCTGAGAGCTGTAAATGATTCTTCCAGGTTGGGCAAAGCATATGCATCTTTGACAGTTTGTAAATTAAGTTTACGGTAGTCAATGCACAGTCGAATGTCTCCATTTTTTTCTTAACAACAACAATTGGAGATGAGAAAGGGGATTCAGATTCTCTGATAACACCAGCATCCAGAAGTTCACGTAAGTGTTTGCGAACAGCCTCTATATCTTGTGGGTGAATCGGTCTCGCACGATGTTTGAAAGGAGTATTATCATGAAGATTAATGTGATGTTTCACTTGCTTGGTACATCCAAAATCTAAATCATGATGAGCAAAAACTTCAGGTACAGCATCTAACTTTGTTATGATTCTTTCCTTCCATTCTGATGGTATTGGAGACTCACCAAAATTGATTTTCAAAGATGCTGTTGATGTTTTCTCAGCCATGTGGTTGGTCACATGGTGCTCTGAGATGATAACTGCATAGGCTTCCAGTTCAGCAATGATACTTAAAGCTGGTATGGAAATGACTTTGTTTCATTGGAAACAGCAACTGGAACCTTATTGAGTGAGTCAGCTTGAAGTGCAACCAGACAGCTACTGACAACCAGGCCACCCGGCAGGCCTGAAACCGGGTGCCGAACAACAGCACACTGACTGGCTGTAGAAGAGAGCTTGGCACGACCCTCGACCACCATTGTGCAACCAGCTGGAATAAGTACAGGAGTTTTACTATGGAGAGTCACAACACCCAAATGATTGCCACAGTTCTGCTGATGCATTAACTGATGCAGAACTGTTTTAAACCCATATGAGGTAGGTTGGAATGTGGGACAATCACTGGAACAAAACTTTTCATAGAGAATTTCAAGTGTATTCATGCCAATTAGTACTGAAGCTGGAAATCCAGGTCTCACATCAGGAACAACCAAAGCAAGGGTTTCAACTGTTAGTTCACTCCCAATAAAGTCTTTTGGAAAAGTTATTGGTATTTCAACATAACCCAAATATGGAACTTGTTGACCTGCAGCCCCTTCAATATGAAGTAGGTCATTTAATGAATGCACTGAATGATCTGAGAGATGCTCATTGAAGAAAGAAACTGGAATTGTAGTGACTTGAGAGCCGGTATCTAGAAGACATTGAGAGCTGTGGCCAGCAATATTGACTTCTGCTGTACATCTGGATCCGATTAATCCTTTTGGTAAGTTAATTTTGGTTTTTGTCTGCATCTTTGCACACTTAGACTCTCTCTCTGTAGGACAAAGTTGGTCCAGCTCAGTTCCTGTTCGTCCCTCAACAGGAACTGGAACTAGTTTAAATGTGCTGTAGGAGAGGGATTTTGTCCCTGTCTCTTCTGTTTGTCATAAAATATTTTCCGCTTTGCACTGACTAATGCTGAATTGGGCTCATTATCACATCGAGGCTTGATATGGCCATCTTCCCCACAACGGAAACAAAACCCAGGTTTAGAGCTAGACATGCCGAATTTTACATCTTTAACAGTCTTTTTCACAATAGGCTTTGAAGTAACTCTTCCAGCAAAAGGTAGCTTAGTGCCCATTTGACCTGCTGTTAAAGCAGTGAGCTGCTGCTGTATTGCAGCCATCTGTTGTGAAAGCTGTTTAGTCTAGCAAACTGGACCTGAGACACAACCTTCTGTTTAGTGGTTCCCAAATGATGCTTCATCCTCAAGGTCTTTGCTGCTTCCCTGTCCTCTTCAGTTCTAAGTAACAACAAAAGCTCAGCAAATGATGGTGGATTATTTTTTCTCTGTTTAAGTTGAAGTTCTGAGATTAGATTGTTGTCCCAACACCCTCTGCAGAATTGGGTCAACAGTCGTGCATCCATGTCCTTCTCCAAAACACCTCTCTTTACTGCACTCTGTAATACAACCTGCAGACGCTGCAAATAGGCAGACAGCTTTTCTCCACTGTCCTGATAGGTGTCCATGAATTTAACATACAACTCCTCTCCATCTTGAACAGTTCCATAAGCTGAATCAAGTTGTTCCAGGTATACTTTTGGTAATGTGTCAGGACTCAAATGTTTCACTATATCACAGGCAGGTGGAAGTAAACTGTCACGAATTACTCTGGTACATTGCAGCTGTGACATAGAGGGATCTTGAAGAACTAATTCAACACTTGAACGCCACGTGTCATAGTCTGTCTCATGACTTGGCCTGGGGACTTTTCCAGAGAATGCTCTCAGTCTATGGGATGTATGCATATTTAGAGAGCTGTCCCCACTCCTAACAACATGCTCCACAACGTACCGTTGCACCTCAGGAGGATTAAGATCACCAGCGGAAATGGGTGTGGACCGCCTCTCCTGACCTGGCACTTCAGCTCTGTTAGAGACAGCAGAGCTGGACGGGAGAGGAACTGACTGTGAGATTGATGACAGAGGAAAAGGGAGTTGAGTTGGGGCATGAGCTGATGGCTGCTGCCCTCCATCTTCATCTGCAAGCTGTTCCTCTTTTGCCTTCTTTAGCACCACAGGACAGAACTCTGCAATAGACTGCTGTATCTGGGACATCACTTCTGTGAGAACTTGAGTGTAATTTTTTCCGGACATTTTGGCAATTTCTTGTAAATCATCCAAATACTTGTTTGTCTTTAAACCACCAACCTTTGAGGCATAAATCTCAGATAAAGTTTCAATATGAAATTTATCACCCACCCTTGATGTAAATGTATATGGTAATACTGGAGATAAGCGTGCTAAAGACAACCCAGAATCAAATTCAACAACCAACATTTGATCAAATTCTGATTCAGATGAATCGATGGTAGTTCTCTGCTTAATATCACCATACTGTTCAAGAAAATCAATAAGTTCATCAGTGGGGTTCTCTGGGACTCCATCAATCAATACTGTGTTAGGGATTTTTAGACCAAGGGTTTCAAAAACCTCCATAATGGAAATTGAATTGG